CCATTTGTTGTAAAAAAAAACTTCAAGACGCAAAACCACAAATTGGAGGAGGAGCCGAAAATCGCTTTAGCGGTTACAAAGGGACAATTATATAATATGGACGGCTTCCCAAATCCCAAACTTATTTTCGTATTTCAGTCATCCTACTCTGTAGCACCCATATGAAGATGTGAAGACTTCGACATGGCACATTCTTTCTGGTTTTTGATAATCATGCAACATATCACTCGCTCCTGACACGAACTGATTGACGAGAAGCTTGCAAACACCAATAATATTTAGGGGGTAAGTTTACACAAGCCCCATGCTAGAACTCTTCGCAGATTATATAACTGGTCTAATCGTTGTGAATTATGTGTCAACTCAAATAAAGTGGAACTCGTCCTGTTTGGTAAGAGTATAAACGCAAAGCAAAATTTCTGGCTGGAAAGCCAACATAGTAAGCAGATATTATAAGACCTGCATTACCCTGTATAGATGTAAAAGGCCCATTGGCATGAAATGGACAACACATAGACCAATACTCTTGTATGAGGTGGCTGTATGGTGGTCTCCAAAATACTGGGCGACAAACGTTCATCTCCATCTCTTGGCAACCTCAAGACCACGCCGAATCAGTCTTTAAATGTTATCCTATATTTTACCATTAGCTATCTAAGATTGGAAGGATAGGAGGGAGAGGATGTCTAGGTTTAGGGAAAGGTGATGTTAAAAATATCATTGAATTTATTCATTGAGCATTTTAGCTCTTAATAAAGTTCGGCTGTGAACGTCATAGAAAAAAATTTGAGTTGGTGCGGGGTGGTCATTCCTCTATTAACACCATTCATTTATTGGCTAGAGCTCGGGGATGAGCTCCGAGTAAGTAATTGGAGATGACGCGTGGCGAACATTCCATTTGTTGCTTTGGAAATTATTGATCTCTTTGGCTCTTCAAAATTTGTGGAGTGGGGGAGTGCTCAGTGGATTTCTTGGTGCTGGCAAACATCTAAGCATGCAAGCTGTCGAATATCATGCCAGTACACTGAATTTAGGATCTAATAGACACTTTAAGCTCATTGCTTCACTGTCCCGCTGAGAATTGCAGTTATCCATATAAGCATGTACTCATATGCAAATATGTACAGAAGTTGGGCGGAGGATGCTGCATGCGATTTGGTACAATTATATAACGGAAATCCCTAAAAGAGTAGAAGGGAGTAATAACTTCGCTGTTGTAATCGGCAGTATTCGGGTGAATCGAAACTCGATGGCAGACCTTTGAGGTCCCTTACAAGCTACCCGATCATCGCAATATATCGCCAGTTCAAATTTCAATCGTTAAGGAGACAGCAAACTACATTGGAAATGGCACTCATGAGCAGGGATATCTCTAGTTTCAGCGAATGTCAGACAGCAATTAAGTCACTTGACTCGCTTACAACGATTTCTAAAGCTGCACTGGACTACCGTCGACCTCAGCAAGAGATGATCAAACAGAATAGATCATCTTTCGTTTGAGCTACTGGTCACGGGACCTTGATGGAATTTGCTGTATGCAATTTACTACTCAAAGACTTTCCTAACGATCAGGCTGCAGTAGTATGGAACTACACTGCTACTTACACCATTTGGAAACGAAATTGGCCGAATGGTAAGAAGGATGAAGAGCAGCAACCATTCCCTCTCCATCTTTGAAACTGCCCTACCTTGCGCAGAGGCAAGTACTGATATCTAGGAGCTGCTTTCATCGATTTTTAGCATCTAATTATCTAATGAGATATATAAATTGATCGAAGTTGTTGGATGGGGAGCTTAGAGATCGAGTAAACACCTTAATATCACAATGAAAACTATGAACGCTTACACAACAATAACAACACCAAACTCACTTTAAATTCTTAAAATATCTGTATTTGCAGATTGTTGAAAAAAACTCTATCAGGCTTTAGTCGGTACTGAGTACGGGTCTTCAATGAGCAGAATAGAGTGTGCAAAGAGAATTAAAGTTTAAATTACTGCATTTTCTATTTTAGTTTAACAAAGAATTCACACCTCTCATCTCACAGGTTAATAGTTGTTAAAGAAAATATTTTGATTACACTTTCATAAATTCCCCCAAGTATAAAAGACAAGAAAAGGAAGGGAGAAAAAATAACAAAAATATCAAAATATATTTCTAATCTATTTTAGTAGCCGCGAGTCATGTGCAACAAAGTCTTCTTTTCTTAAAATTCACTAATATTCAATTTGTTATTCAGTTTATAATGAATTTCTACGCGATCATGCTGACGTTTCTAAATTTATTTATTATTCTTTTGTAAATTATTTGTGTATGTAGGTATGTGTAATCTCGACGCTTAGCTTTTATTTAATTTTTTTTTTAAATCTGCTTTTAGTAAAAAATTTTTATTTAATATTAATCTATGCTTTTGTAAAGTATATATTTGTATGGCTTTTTTGTGTAAATTTGAAGAAGATATATTGCAAAGTTTCACTGTCCTGCCGCTAACATGAGATCAAACGCACATTTCTACATACATAAATACATATGGTTTGTATGTCCACACTTAACGAGCAATTTCTTGGCGCTGACGCGAGCAACACACATTCCGCTGCCAACACTACAGACAACAATTGCCCTCTTTCGTAAATAACAAAAAAAAAAAGAAAAGAAATATATTTACAATAACAAATGTAACACACACACACACACAACTCTCAGCATACCGCAGCGCCAAGCGTAAATTCCGTTATGTAATACAAACTCGTAAAAGCATTATGAAATGTTTTAAAAGTCATTTTTTACACACTAATCCAGTGCAATTCCAAAGGCGACGACAAGGAACCTCAATGGCCCAATGGACGGCTTGCGTCTGTAGAGGTGTACAAAGTGTCGGAAGTGGTTACGGCCAATGGCTGCTGACTAACAGCTGGCAGTTTAAATACACATATTTACATACTAGTGCATACACAATTACATACAAACAAACATACATTTACAGCGTATGCAAGTGTCTAATTTTAGTATAAATGAGGAGCAGCAATTTTATTTGGGCCAACTGCCGCAGAAAGAGGAAAAATAGGGCAATATCGGTGAGATCACCCGAGTGCAAGAATAAACAATGTAGACATGCATTCGAATGCGTTTTGGGCATAGATGTGCCATTTCACATTCATTTCACAAAATTTAATTAGGTTGAGTTTAATCAGTTTAAAATTTTCTTGTTTGCTTCAAATAATATTTTTAAAAGGGATATTTGTTTAAATACGACTCGATTTGGCTTTTTGTTAATTATTTTACTTTCATGAAGGTATATTAGCTATAAAATTTGAATTTTTAAAACCCAATTTTGCCATTCGGATGTCTGACCGTTATTTCCTTTATACATTTTTTTTTATTAAAGCTGTATTTTTATTTTAAATTAATTGAATAGCTCGTTCCACGCCTTTTAAACAATATATTGATTTTTTTCTGAGTTTGTTACAAAGTGTTCTTAACGTAAATATTTTTTTACAATTATTTCCATTTTAATTTTATGTTTCTAGGGTATTCGCATTTATTTTGTATTTTCAACATAACACTGGAGGTAAATAGATATTGTATATTATGTTTTCCACTTTGTTTTTAATATTTTTTCTTTAACATATTTTTTTAAAACAAGCGTTTGCATATTATTTATGTGCTTAACTTTTTTTTCAATTTTTTTTTTTAAATTTTTACAAACTTTATTTCCTTTATTTTTTATTTACTTTTTGTGTATAATCGCATTTGTCATATTTTCATTATTATATGTATGTTTCCAATAGCGCATGCATTTGGTTCATATTTTTTGAAAATTTTTCTTCTACACAACATATTTTTAAAATATACATACACAAACACACATTTGGTATTTATATGTTTGTGCAAATTTTTTTCAATATATATATATATGTGAACACATCATATACATATCTTCAACCTTTTAAAAATATTATTTTATTTATTTTTATTTCAGTTTTTTTTACTATTAATTTAGTTCTATTCACATGGGGCAACGGAAATACGAGCGTTTATCTCTGAACGTGGCGATCGACAAAGTAGGACTAGCGAGAAAATTAGTGAGCAGGGATTTTCTTTACGCCTTTGAACCGTACATTTTTACGTACTCCTCCCCGCACACTAATACATGAACACGTGTATGCTGTGACAAATTGATAGTTGTATGAAAATTTCCTCAAAACATTATTTGCCATTGTGGCTCTCAAAAATTCGCTCATTATATTATGCCAACAAATTGTATTCTGTTGCAGAATTATTCAAACTCTCTAAGAATCGCATACACGCACTCACCCATACATATATGTATATATAGATATGCAAACACACACGTTGAATAACGGATGTTCAAAAACGCTAATAATTTCTTGTTTTCACTAACAACAATTTGCTCTTTCCGGTTGGCACAGACACAAAGATATTCCAAAACCGTATTTTTGTAGGTGGTGTAGCGCTCCGACACGTTAACCAAGCCACCGCCACCGCCGCCGCCGCCACCACTACCAACAAAGACATTTTCCTTAGCAAAAGTTTGTGAAAAATGTCCCAAAGCAAATTGATCGCACTCACTCGCATACAAAGCGTTTTGCTCATAACGGAATGCTCGTTTGAGATGTGTCCACAATGAGCATGGCACTCTTCGTTTCAGCGCTTTCGTACTCATTATTGCCCATCGTTGTGAGTGTGCCGCTGGAAAATGGCCAAAAATTAAGCTAAGCTAACCAAAGGTATATTGCAATGCATTGTTGACAGCAAAATATTAGTATATACGTATATATACATATATACATATATGTACATATATATTCTTTTTTTTTTTTTGAAATAAATAAACAAGAAAGAGCGAAGAAATTTGTATGAAAAGAAATTGAAATATTGACATACACACATACATACATTATCTCGGCCAAAAAACATTCATATTTCCCTTCAACTCATTTTCAAAATTTTCTAGTTTTTAGCTTACATTCACACTCACCATTCAAATTTTAATGGCAGCAAATCGGAGTCGTCGTCACAGTCGATTTTCACGAAGAATGTCGCTCTTTCGTTCGGTACACAACGTATGAGCGAACTCGAATTTTCGCTAAATGATAGTTTCGGTGGCGCCTTTTTTTGTTGTGCACCTTTAACAGGAAAACCCCGGGGATCTGGAAGCAAATACAATTATTAAAGAATATAAAAAGTATGTACATATGAGAATATGTGTGTGTAAATATAAAAAAATGTGATTATTTAAATTTAATTTAAATAAAATTACAACAATAATTGTGGAAAGTTTGGAATTGCTTAATACTTAAATAGCTATGAAGTGAAGATATTTTCTCATAATGAGAAAAATTTTAAAACATATCTTAAATGGTTGAAGAATAGCTTTATACACGAGTGCTGCCCGAAATGACATCCCTGAGCTAAATTCTAATATTTGCTAATTACAAATAATTTTCTAAATTTCAATACTTGAAACTACCTCTAATTTATAACTTGTAGAATACTTCTAAGCTGTGTCGGAAAACATAATATTACATTACTCTAAAGGCCAAAGCTATTATTTGTGTTTATCGTTTATTGTATTTACCGTTTTGAAACATACGAGGGGACTAACAAAAGTTTGGTCAGTTGGTGACATTTAATTTCTTTTTTTAAATCTAAAAACATCAAATTCTTTGCAATTATTTTATTTGACTTCTTTTAAAATTTCAGAAAGATCGGCCTAAAATTGAGATGAAAAAATGGAAGATAGCTGAGGATAGGTTAGACGAAATTCTACCCTCAACACACACAGAAATTCCCCATGTGATTCTCTTCGGGTTTCGGCGTAATTTTCAGCCTGTACAAATATTCAGTGAATGCCAAATTGCATATGGAACGATTAAAGACTATTTCCAAGTGGTTTCGAAGATTCCTAACCGGATATTTTTCCGTAGTGGACGTAGTGGAATCTACCAAAATCTACCACTGATGACGTCAATGCAGAACTGATGAAATCCAAAATTGACAAACACCCACGATTGATACAAGAAATGATTGCTAATGAATTGAACTTGAATGTCAATGCTGTATTGCCAATATTAAGTAATCATCTGGGATATACGAAGAAATCTGTTCGATGGGTACTACGAATTTTCAATGAGGCCGAAAAAGATGCTCGAGTGCAATCTGCTCGATTTTTCCTAAACAAATGGGAAAATGGTCAGTTTAGCAACTTTAGTAAAGTCGTTACTGTTAACGATCCAGAAACCAAATAGCAGTCCATGGTATGAAGACTAACAGAAGCAAATTCACCCGTTAAATCTAAGCAACAAAAATCAGCAGCAAAAGTAATCATGGCAGTAATCTAAAATTATAGCTGCTGTTCCACTGGAAAAGTGTCAGACGGTAACTAAAAAATGGCACACCGAAAGTGATTACCTAAAGTTTGCAAAAATTTATTGGAAAACAGGAAGAAAGAAGGTTTGCGGCGCTACTTTTTACATCGTGACAAAGAGTCATCCCACACTGCTGAAATAACGGGTAATTTCTCGGATATGCTACCTTTTAATTTCTGATTATTTCCAAAAATTAAAAGAAAAGGTCTTTAATAGAAACGAGGAGATAATTAATGCGGTTAAGAAATGCACTGAAAATCAATGACGATTTTGTAGAGAATATAAAAAAGGATAAAGATTACGAATAAATACAATTCTTCTTCTGATCAACTTACCGAACTTTTGCTAATCCCCTCGTATATACATAATATATAATAGCTTATATGCTATAAAAAAAAATTAATAATATAATAAATCTAATAAGACTTATATAAACCATAAGAAAATTCTATGCGAACAAAGTCGCGGGCGGACTCTATTAACTGCCAAAGCGGCTTTCGGCCTAACTTCTTTTCCAATTTGTGTTGTACGTCTTGATATTAAAAAAAAAATTGAAGGGACCTCGAGTATATTACAAGCCACCTTCGTACAGCTTATAGTTTTCTATGAGAAGTTTTCATTTCATGACAGAAAGAAGGTTAACATTCACTGTCCAGGGGTGAGCGCAGTTAGGAAAATTAGATTTTTATGTTTGGATATTGTTTTTGTACGCACTGCTAACCAATCATCTAGTGATCACAGAAATTTTTAGGACTTTGACACACCTAATAAATTATATTTTCGAATATACAGTTAAGATTTCATAGTTATCTTAGTAAAGGTAACATTTTGCAACCACAAATGCTATACGTTAATATGTACATTTAAGATATAAATTCGAATATAGGAATTTACGCTATATATATATATATAAACTTTTGAAATATTTATATATATTTTTTATGTTTTTTCATTCAATCCTTTATTGGTTTCGGTTATGATGTCATACACCTTATACGCACATCACATGCGTCATGTGGTATGAGCAACATCAATTAGATCTGCCAAGTCGTTGTGTCATAAATTTAAAACTACAAACTAGTCAGTCTAGCGTAGAAGAAAAACGGACAGCACGCGTATTTAAATTTTAAGCATAAACTCACAAGAACTGTAGTATGCATGCAAAAAATTCTAAAGGCAGAGAGTAAATAATGTCAAGTGAGAAAATTAGCAAATCAACAGCTAATAATTTTGCGTTTTTAATTACGTATACGCCATGGCGCATCATAATGCACGCAGAGGGAATATTAACCCAATAATCTAAAATGTTAGATGCAAGTATAATAATAATAATAATTTTAATCTTTAATAAATAATAATAAATTCTTTTAAGTCTTTATTTTTATTTTGCTTAAAAAATTAAATAAATAAAAAAACAAAATTAATTTCATACATGACTTCTGTTAAAAGAGTTTTTTTTTATACTGGCGAAATTGTTAACGGAACCTTAGGAATGGCATTGCCAATTGAAAAGGAAAGCCTGTGACTGAACACATTAAAGTAATACTTAAAAATAAGAAAAGAGAAATTTACCATAAAGGTATTATTTAATTAGCAAAAGAAGAGTTGTTAGTAATGCGTACAACCATGAAAAGGGCCATGGGTTCGAACATCGACCAGATCATCAGCCAAACAATTTTACTTATTGCGGTCGCCCTTCGTAGGAAATATTAACCCCTCCCTGTGTATTTCTGGCTTTTCAACAGCAAACTCTTTTCTGCCATTGTATAAACCAGACTGAAATAAATCTCCACTACGAGGTAGAATATACCTGTCATAAGGACCGAATAAATAGTACCCCCGACAGTCAGGTCTTTATACCGGAATGGCACATAAAAAAAGGGTTTTATTCGTCCAAACACTGTCATTCCTTGCAATTTTCCCCGAAAACATATTTGGAAAATTTTTTTGCGATTGCAATAACAACAGCAATTATTTTATAAATTTTTGAAACTCCGAAGCAATTCTCTACAGACTTATTTCATTCAGTTATTCGTTTAATTATTTGAATTAATTGATTTCCCACAGCCGGCAAGCTTTCCAACGAACTTCTCCTTACTGTAGTTTTCAAAGATATTAACGGTAACTCGGCTAACAATTAAATAAAAAAAAAATATATATTTTCTAAGCAAAAAAGTGGTTTCTTAAATTATATAACAAAAAGAGCGCGAATATTAAAAATAATCTCAAGGAAGGAAGGACTAAATTTGGATTGAACTAAAAATTTGGCCATTGCTGAGCTATTTAAAATGTTTGGTGGGATGAATTTAAATTTTTGAATTCTACCTATTTATTTAGGACGATGAGGATATGTGTAGAAGTTCACGCAAGTACCAATCACCTGGGAGCTGCCTTGAACAGCACAGTAAGGAGCTACCTATACGTGCCTATGTCTGAATTTGGTATTCCGGCAAAACTCATACACTAGTGTAAATGGATGCTGGGTAATACCAGAAACGCAGTCAGAATTGCAAAGGACATCCCCAAGCAGTTCGATACCAAACGAGGTTTCAGACAGGATGACTGTTTGTCGTGTGATTTCTTCAGTTTGATATTGGAGAAAAAAATGAGACCTGCAGAGCTAAGCAGACAGGGCGCTATGTGTTACAATAATGTACAATTACTGGCGCATATCGATGATATTGATATCAGAGGCCTTAACAACCACGCCGTTACCAAGCTTGACAATACAGCGAAACGGTAGTAGTGAAATAAACAGTCGACATCCGATGAGGCGGTTTTGGGAGAAAAATTTTGCGAATATTTCCAACTCATATCATTATAATTACCACTGAGTAACTTTTCCAGTTCTGTTTTCACAAGGGCAGAGAAAATGCTGCCTGTTTCTCAATTTATATCGGAGTTTCTAAAATCTAAAAAATATGTTTTCTCAAGTCATCACAGCTCGACACTAAATGCCAATACCTCTGAGAGTATGTCTGAGATGAAAGTCACAGCGTTTTCAACATATCAATTGACTGTTCGGAGATGGCTTGAAACCCACCATAAATCACTTCAGTTCGCCATGCTATCCAGTCTATACCAGTATACAATTAGCTGTACAAACTTAATATACCTTGTGTACTCAATACAGTTGGGTGTAAGAAGTAACAAAGAAAAAGAATTCTAAAACCCTGGCATAAATGACCCCATAAACGAAGATTGCATTTTCCTGTCACAAGGCACAGCTATCTCGCAGTCAGTGCAATTGCGGCAAACACGAAAGAGAAAAGTATTTTTCCAAACTAAAAATAGTTTAAAAACGTCTCCGTTCGCTGCGGTCAATAGACGACAAAAACAACTGAAGCAACAGCAACAGCAACAGTACTTTTCATTTTTCTATGTTCGCATGGCCAGTACATACAGAAAAAGAGAGGAAATGATATGAGGCTGATGCGAAAGAAGCGGAGAAAGTTAAGCAATTTATAATAATTATAAAAAAAATTATATATTCTTTTGTTTTTTACCCACTTAAATCAGTATAAGCTGCAATAAAATAAAAAAATTAGTTGGAATGAAATAAAATGAAGTAAAATTAAATTAAATTAGTTTGAAAATTAAATTAAATAAAATGTTATAAAATAAAAAAATTAATCAAAATAAATGCAATGAAAATAAAGTAAAATTAAATTAAATTGAATTGATTGGAAATTAAATTAAATTAAATGTAATAAAGTAAAAAAGCTAATTTAAATGAATGCAATGAAAAGAATTTTAATAAAGAAGTATAAAATTAAATTGAATTAATTGGAAAATAAATAAAATAGAAAGATATAGTATAAAAAATTTAATTAAAAAAATACACTGAAAAGATTGAAAAAAAAAATAAAACGCAATGAAATAAAGTAAAATGAAATTAAATTGCATTAATTGAAAATTAAATAAAATAAAATGTTACAAAATAAAAAAAATAATTAAAAAATGCAATAAAAATATTTGAAATTTATTATATTTTAAATAAATTAAAATAACTAAAAAAAAAAAAACAAAATATAAATGAAATGAAGTAAAATAAAATTGAATTGAACTAATTGGAAAATAAATAAAATAAAATGTTATTAAAAATATAAAAAATTAACTAAAATAAAAATAATTAAAATTTAATTAACTTGAATTAATTGAAATATTATATTTTAATTGAAATAAATGCAATTTAAATAACTAAAATAAAACAAAATATAAAATAATAATATAAAATATAAAATAAAAATATAAATATAAAATATAAAATGAAGTAAAATAAAATTGAATTGAATTAATTGAAAATTAAATTAAATAATATGAAAAAAAAATTAATTTAAAAAATGTAATGTAAATGATATAAAATCAAAATAAATTAATTAAATAATATAAAAAATAATGTAAAATAAAATAAAACAAAATAATTGTAAAAAAAAGTATTAATATAATATAAAAAATTAATAATTGAAATTACATATTATTTATATATAATGTATTTTTATTTATTTATTGCCTATTTTAGCAACCAATAGCAATTCAGCGTGATTTATATACATTTTTGAAATTATATGAGTACAAAGTACAAACACGATTCTTAATTATTAATTTAAGAAACTCCGTTTTCAACTCGTTTCATCTGAAGCTGTTGTACTTCGAAGACCCTATGAACATTTGTATGCATACATAGATATGCGTTTGCCAGAAAAGTATTCGTTACGTAACAGTTAATCATAAAAGTATAATTTGTTGTTGTTTCCCTTACCTGTTGTGTTTGTCGTATTATTAGGTGATGTATCTGCATTATCTTGGCCGGCTATTAGACCGGCTGACGCATTGTCTGTGACTTCCATTTGCGGTCACTGCAAAGTCAATTTGGATGAGTGCGTCTTATGCAAGGATGCCAGCGTTGAGCTGTGGAACTTTACACTTTTGCTGAACACCCTCCTTCTATATGTATTCTTCCACTTGAATTTTATTATTATAATATTCCACACAATTTTCTACTGTATACATATGTACGTAGGTATGTGTGTGTTTACCTTTTAAGCATACATTTATTTTGAATCAACCAAGCAAAGTCAACTGACTAAGGAAATTAGACATGAAATTATAAAATCACAAAAATTTCACCAAAAATATATTAACCATGTGTAGAAACAACTATATACATATGTATCTATGTATTTTATATAATATATATATATATTTTTATTTGAACACTTAAACTCATTACATTATTAATATTTTAAATGCACAACGTACATTGGATTTTTCTTTTCAAATCTTGTTATTTGTATATTTTTTTTACTTTATTTTCTTTTTTAAAGTACACGGCACAAAATCGAGCACAAGCGAATTATTAGATACAGGAGCTACAACAAAAATATACACGAGATTTATATTTAGCATACCGCTGAATAACGGAATTCATATACAAGAGATCGGAACATGAGCACACACTCGCACACATACATGTAGACTCACAAGACCACCGCTCTAGCCCGTCACATCGGCGATTTTTATATATTATATTTAAATATTTTTAACTTTCTTATATTATTGCTTTTCACTAATGTTGTCGAAATTTTCGTTTCACTTCGCTAAAGCTTCTGACTTTTCTCAAATTGTTATTAAAATTTAACCCATTTTGAACTGGATAGAAAGAAAGGTATTATGACGGCCCAGGCGTCAGTGGAATGAACTGCCACGACATACTCAATACATTACACACGTATGTAATATATGTATGTATGTACATATCGTCGAAAATGTGTGTAAATTCTGCTAACCGTTATCTATTTTAAACTTCTAAAAATGTCTGTTATTTTAAAAATTTGCCGATTTTCTCACTATTTTTCTTCGTAGACAAATTTTTATGGAACACGCACTTATGACCGACAAACTTCTGTAACTGTGTTTGGGTATTTGTATAGATTTTCAATAAATTCACTATATTTTACGCACTATTCCGCATCCAGCGACAGCACCTCATGGATCTCCGATAGTTTTCCTCAGACTGAGTGGCCGGATCTGCCGGTCGCCGGAGCAAAGCATTATACCTCGCCACTGCTGGCACACATATTAGCACATGTCTGCAAGCACATATGTATGTATGTGTATATATGTGCGTTTTTCGGTTGTCTGCTCTGCTATTTTCGGTCGTGGTGCGAGCAGCGAGTTCGCCACTTGGTAGACTAAGGCTCTGGCGGTAGCCGTTGTTCATGTTCAGGTCGTGCACCGCGTATGCGGAACTTAATTGCATCCATTTCGAATGTGTTTGTATGTATGTATGCTTAGGCGTACACAGCACGTTGACTGCTTGCTTGCTCGAGCGTAAGGGATGCAGGCCCACAGAAGTGCTATAGAGTTGTAGAACATATACAATTGGAAAAGATATGGCTTGATTCAAAAGGGAAGCACGTGTAAGATACAAGAAAATATGAGAAAGGAGATCTCAGGAAGAGTGTACTGAGTTTGCTGATTACATTGGACAGGATAAGAGATGAATGTAGGATAAAGATACTTTGCTAGAGCATATTAAGAATTATGGAAAGTGTTTTCGAAATTACTAATATTCCATTTTTGACTCGAATTATATCAAACTTTGTCCACGCAATTGAGCGAAATACGAAATTAAAAAGCTTTTGGACATAAAAACGATGTTTGCACTTAACATTCGCGAGTCAGAGGCTTAAGAATTTACCCTTGGTGAGGTATGCCTGTCGTAAGTGGCGACCAAAATCCATAAGTTCCCGCAATAGTCGGGTCTTTATACCGGAGCGACCCGTATTTTTACCCGGCCAAGCACTGTTACTTGAACAATATGTCTCCAAGACCAATCGGGGAAATTTTTTGTGGTTACAAAAACAACACCAACGAGTCATGCTACATATACTAAGATTGTTATGTGGGCTGACTACGCCAAGGGACAATATTTAACTCACGTGCTCTGTACAATCACAACCAAATATTTTTTCAGAGATCGAATACGGTAGAAATGGTAGAAATCATTGTCTAAGGAACAACTGAATACCTACCAAAATTAGCCCACTTCAATGTAACTTCAATGAGTACTAGCAAAACTGTTTTGCATATTCAAATCCAAAATCATTTATTTTTCCGTATAAAGAAAACGTTCGAATACCTACTATCAGTTCCAACCGAGCTGAATCTTTCTTAATTTTTCGATTTATTTTTTTTTTTATTTTTTTTTTTTTAAATAACGTTCGTCAAGCAGCTGTTGTCTCATTATTTCTGTAATTATAGAAATTCGAAATGGAGTAGCATTACAGAGCAAAATTGAGCAAGGCATTCAACATACTGTACCTTTATTTTCATATGCATGTGTACAAATATATGTATATGAATGGGAGGAATTAATTGTTTTTATGCAGACATAATAATAGCGTAAAACAGACATTCGAATCAGCAAAGAAATTTGTAACACAATAAATTTTTATTTGAAAATCTCAATGAAATTTATCTCTTATGATTTTATTTATGGAATACGTGTTATCGCCTTAAAAATAATTATTGAAAGAATGGTTTACATTTAAAATATACAGCTAACAATTATCACGAAGTTATTAATATAAAATTTTCATAGTATACATATATGTATGTGTATACATGTTGTGTATTTGATGAGTTTGATCGTTTCTATCCATTTACAATAGTTTTCATTTATCTTCTTTTAATCAGTTCGGCACACACTTTAGAGTGACTTGTCAACATTAAAATTAAACATAAACATTATTGAAATTAAATTTTTTAATGTTTACTTCAAGTGTATGCAAATATTTTGTCGTAATATGTATTCATTATTTGCACTACATACATAATCATAACTAATATTGAGTATCTCATTTGATTAGTTATTTAGAAAAAGGAATTACGTATACAGTGGTTCACTACGATTACTAGATTTATGTTTCTTTTATTTAATATTCTGTAATCGCTAGTATTCTACGCATACAAGGCTTGATTTAAAAGTAGGAGCAGATTCAAACAAAATTGTCGAACAAACAATTCAGCAAGTTTAGCTCTTTGGCTTATAAAAGGATAAGTAAATACACAAACCGACCAAGTCTGTTAAAACGTTACATCCGTTTTTATCATTTATCATTTTCATAGCTGTGAAATGTACGATAAGGAAAACATCCACGCAAACGACATACATATATATGCACATATATATATATATATATGGTGAGGCATTATTGCGATCCATCCTAAACCGAGTAAAAATGTGAATTAAACTTGGTTTGCCATGTCGGTTTAGTAAATGGTGAAAACCAGGCTAACGAAAATCGTCCAAAAACTGAATGAATGCTTTTTAGCCGAGATTTTTTTGCCCATCTTGCTTCCTCTTTTTTCAATTGCTCGATTCCCTGTAATTAAAAACATGTTTAAAAATAATTAACATAATTGGATAGTGCAAATTTCGTGCAGTCAAAGAATGATGTGTTCATATTGTTATCAATTAAAAAATAATAATGTATGCACTTATGTATATATGTATGTGTGCTTAAAGAATATGTTATCATTAATTACATTAAATTCATATTTGAATAGATTAGATTTTTACTATCTCCACTGAGCCTACTCACCGTTTGATCGTTAAAGATGGCAGTCAATTGTGTTGCCAACATGATAAGTGTGAAAATTGCAAATAATAATGCTTCAAAAGATAGAAACAGCAGCAAAAATATTGTTGCTGGGGGTGAATAAGGTGAACATTGTCGCCACTCAGTCTGCACACACTGCGCAAATTCTGTTACAACCAAAAACATGGCATGTATAGATATAGCAGCTATGTAGAACTGTTGAAAAAAAATATAATATGTATTATTTAATTAGTATTTTAGTTAATAATACTCACTGTAAATAGTACAAAGTATTTTTGATTATTTTCTCCAACACAATTGTTCACCCATGGACAGTGATGATCCATCTTACGTATACAACGCTGACACACGGAACAGTGATGAGCACGTTCCGGTTTGATGCTGCAGCATTTCGGGCACTTGAAAAACATTTCACCTTCGCGATAGCCCATTTGTTCGATCATTTCTTTGGTTGCATTTCCACGAGGAACTGCACCAGGATCTGACATCATGGTGCGTATATGTGATGCGAAAGCAAGAAACGCAAGTAATTGAAATATTATTATATTAATTGTACTGTATACCGGATACGGACTAGGTAACAATATGACTCGCATGACTACAAACTCAGCGAATAATATTAGTAACCAAGTGAAAACAGCACAAACTATACCGCAAATATCCTAAAATATGAAAACAAATGGTTAGAAAATAGGTTTTGGCATAGAATTGTGGAGACTTTTCATAGTTACCTTTACGCACCATGCACGACCACCGCAACAGCGATTATGCATGTCTCTGCTACCACCGTGCACTGCGATATATTGAGAATGCATTTCTGGTATCTCCTCCTGTAGTTGTAGTCCCAAGGAACTCTATACCAAATACACTTTATCAAACCCTATAAGCAACCTTTAGTTACTTTGACAATTTTTGTAAACCACAATGCAACAGCTGACGGAATTGCTGCCACTTGTTTGAGGATCACAAAGTATCTAAGGGTGCCAGATTATGGCAAAATCAAAAAAAAACTATGAAAGAGCGTATACGTTCCTTGGTCCTTATTATCAAAGGACGTATATGAATTAGAAGCGACATGTCAGTCTCATAAATTGGCTTTTTCAGAAAGAGCTTAAATTGAAGGTCCAATCTCAAAAATTCGAGTCCTGTTCACACCATTCGTAGTTCCAGAGAACGTCATATACGTTCTTTGTTAGTGGTATTTTAGTATAATTTTTGAGTGATTGGCAGCTTTAACATTTAGTACTCTTTGACGTGTCTTATTTTTTAATCAGCAGCCAAGTGAAAGTTGTTATTCTTTATGCTGTAAATTAGATTTGTTAGCTTAAATTCTGTTATCCTAATATTTTTTATAACTTTTCTTTTAAATTACCCTAAATTAGAATATTTACATTTCATAATGGTCGACGAATGTACAAGGAAAACTCTTAGCAACATTCCTTTACTGCAGACACGGGCAGGACCTCGCGACAAAGATTTATGGGTACAGCGGTTGAAAGAGGAATACCAAGCACTTATTAAATATGTTCAAAACAATAAAGAATCAGGCAGTGACTGGTTTCGTTTGGAATCTAATAAAGAAGGAACCCGTTGGTTTGGAAAATGCTGGTACATGCACAATCTTCTCAAGTATGAATTTGACGTCGAGTTTGATGTAAGTATGTGAGAACCTATTAAGCACGATTATTTTTTGAACTCTAACTTCAGATACCAGTAACTTATCCGACAACCGCGCCAGAAATAGCTCTACCTGAGCTCGATGGAAAAACTGCGAAAATGTATCGCGGAGGTAAAATTTGCTTGACTGATCATTTCAAGCCTTTGTGGGCACGCAATGTTCCGAAATTTGGTATTGCACACGCAATGGCCTTGGGGGTAAGTAAATAAGATTGTTGAATAATATATATATATGTGTTTCCAATTTATAAATACAAATACATGTAGGATAAGTGTGCTAGTGAAAGAACTCCATCTTGTAACTAAGTTTTTTTTTACAAAAAAATAATAAGAAAACTTAATCATTTTGTAGCAAAAATAAATGCATTCGCAGCAGGAATTAATTTATAAGCCACTGAGCAGTTTAATTTTTGTATTTTACTCACTATTTTTGCTTAAAAGGATTTTTTTGGTGCATCTAGAGAAAAGTGATAATTTTTTTTTTGTTTTTATTTAGTGGGTGTGGGATTTTTGAGTAATGGGTTCAATAGTGTTTGATTTTATTGGTAATTAATGCATAATTAATTTGGAAAGCATATTTTGATAAAAAAAATGTTTTTTTTTTTATAAATTAGATTGCCCGGTTAATGTATTGGAAATGTGTTCAGTAGCTAAAACTGCATGGAAAAAAAATTTCTGCTAGTGTCCGGACAGCCCGTTGTTTCATTAAAAGTATAACCTTTAATTTAAAAATAATCATAAAAATATTTAAAAAACATTGCATGCAGGAAAAAAACGATAATTTTTTGTTTTCAAAGTACCACAACTATTTAACACCATATTACAATGCTATATATCTGTACAGCGGTAGATAAATTGCACACAAGTATTTAAGGCTTCAGGACAAGGTGATGAAAATTAAGCTTGAAGTTTAAGAAAGTTAATCGTTTGGTAACTAGCACATTTACCCTATCTACCATTTAGAGAAATAACGCATTTGCGGTATGTTAAATAAACATTATTTGAATAAAAAAAAATATTTTAATTCCTACTTTCAGCTCGCACCTTGGTTAGCTGTGGAAATACCAGATCTTATAGAGAAGGGCATTGTTACTTATAAAGATAAATAATATTTTTTTCAATTTTGATTTATACATAATTGCTTATTTTTTCATATAATCAAATCGATGTCTTTTTTCCTTAGAGGAATAAAGTGTGTCTAAAGCGTAAATGTGTTATCGTGTCAGTGGCAGAATAGTTAATAAATTGTCGATAAATATAAAAAAAATCTAAAGAAAATGTTTGTTATTTTAATAAAGAAAATAATAAATCTGAATATATCGCAAACCTAACTGATAAAATCTCGAACGGGCATTAGATAGTCCGCAATCCTTCTTCAAATAAAAAGACAATAGATAGTTTGCAAATAAACGAAAGTGTTTTAATGCATTCTTGAAAGTATGTATTTGGTTTGTATGCATGTATTTATGTATGTATTTCATTATGTGCGTTAACTGCACTTAAAGTCCATATGTTTATGTATATTTTTAATTAAATCAAATATTCAAAGTTGTTTATTTTAAAGTATAGACGTTGTGGCTATTGTTTGATAATATCCTGGTAGATGTTGTTTAGGCCGCGTTGAGCAAAATACTCTTTTGTATGTACATATGTATGTATGAATGTTTATAAATTAATAATTTCATATTAATGTTTTCTTTACTTTTTACAGTAAAACTTAAATCTTCAAAATAAATAATTATTCTTTCAAGATATTAAAATTAATTAACAAAGTCAAGTCAGAAGAGAATATAAATAAAATAAAACCATATTTCAAATATAAAGTTTTTGCATTGTTCAAATCAATTTCGATTACCTGGTTCATTTTTTCAGCGTTAATCGTCAACATATTAACGAGTTATAATAAAAAAAAAATAGAAGTTAATTAATAGTTAGTAATTCTTAACAGTAAAAACCAATTGTTTTATAAAAATTTATAAAATTTCGACTTTCGATTGTACAATATGAATTTCGAATTTTGATCGCTTCACTTTATTTCCGTTACTTCTTCGCCCTCCCTGTTCTTTTATCATATTTTAGGGAAAATGGTATGGTGAGCATATGGCAACAAGTTTCAAAATACAAATCTAATTATTAATTATAATATTACTTTTCTAAACGAATTTCTCACAGCATTAAATTTTAGAAAATATTTCCATGAGAGCTTACCGCTAACATAGCTGTGCTATAGAACATTTTATATATAAACCGTTTAAACCGTTTACTTTGAACGCGGTTCGTTAATATGACGTAATTAAAAAAAAAAAAAGAATTAAAATTATATTCTCCCACCAATCATTTTGTTGTAGTCTCTATCAAACTTTAGTACAACTCACGCATATTATAAAAGAGATCATCGATTTAAGTGCCGTTATTCTTATTGCTGTTATTACTATTGTTGCGTTTCTGCCAACTATCTGACCAAATGGAGCTTAGAGAACTAAATGGATCAAATGTCTGCATGTCTCCGGTAATAGAACCATTTCCATCATTAGACGAAACATTTAAAGATTGCTGCTGTTGCTGTTTTGCGATTGGTTGTGTATTGTTACTGATTCCTTGGAAACTACTTTCCAAGCCCGGGGGTGGACGCACAATTGTCGAGCTGGCGTTACCGCTGCCATTTGCCGACGTGCCAGAGGTTGTTGCAATAGGCCAAGCAGACGATGTAGCGTTACTGGCCCCAGCCACAGAAGCACCAAGGTTACTCATTAATAGAGAGGCTGAAGATACGCTATCAACAGTTGTAGCCAATACGCTACCACTTAGGCCAGAGTTGTCATGCTGTCCTAAATATGCTGCCATTGGCGACCAAGTGCGAGAATTGACTCGTGCCCAATCTACACCTTGCATCAGCTGCTGCTGTTGTTGTTGTTGCTGGGCTTGCACCTGAGCTTGTGCATGTGCCTGCACTTGAGCTTGCAGCTGCTGCTGGCGCAAGGTGTACATATATTCGAAATATTCGTTTTGTGCCTTTTTCATAGCGAAAAGGCTTGCATCACCACCTAAAAAGGATCATAATTAAATTAATTCAATGAAATAGTTATATAATGCAGCGTCTTACCGTGGTGTTGTTGGCTCCCTTCATAATCAAGATTCGAAAAGAAACTACAGTCGCCGGTAGAGACAATAGGTTTAGGAATTTGCAAGCCGTTACCGCTATGATTGCTACTTCCGCTGCTGCTGCTATTGACGGGCTCCCAGACTGGTGTCGAAGATGGTGATTTTTTCGAGCCGATGGGGCCCAGTTCCGTCGAATTGATGCTACACATTTTTTCCAAAGCCAAATCTCCTTGATGCTGTCCATAAACCTGCGATTGTTGTTGCAAAGGCTTGCCACCGATGTCCGATTCTTGCTCTGGAGACGTTTTCTCCTTCTCTGTATAGAAAAGCGAAGATCTACTTTCGCCAACAGCCATACTAGATTGATCATTTACTTTCAAAGCATTTTTAGCAACTGCGCTAACGGGCTGTGCTTGCAATACGTCACTGAAAGTAGCCTGACTGCCTGTATCCCAGGGTGAGCTTAAGCAGCTCAACAAGCCACCCATTCCGCTACCTCCGCTGCCGCTGTTATCGTTTCCAGAAGTAGGTCTCGTGCGTATTGATGCGGTAGTCGCAGCAACTGCGGATGTATCGCCAAAATTTAATGCACGCAATGCGGTTGCCGCTCGTTGCCGACTTCTACGTTCAGCACGTCGTGATGCGCTTGAAGAGCCACCGGAATTGGCCGAGGAGGAAGGGAGCGAACCGTCGTTAGCAATGTTAGCGGAACTGGAATTCTGGCTTTCTTTACGGCGTTCACGTCCTGGTGTTTTACCATACTTTACACCGGACAGAGCACTTTGCGCTGCAATTTCTTTCGTGGGCGGCGACAACGTCGATATTAGCGGACTGCATGGCACTGCTACATCCACAGAATTTCCTTTTACAAGGTTGTTCGTATCCCCAGACGACGACTTGCTTACGTTTCCTCGAGTATGTTTGCTGCTACTGCTGTTGTTCGTTTGTGACTTCTGATTGGCAGTGCTTGCTGCCTCTCGCTCAGGTTTTTCAGCCGGTGTAATTGGTCCCGCAGCTGTATTCTTTGCCTTGCGAGAACTACGTGATTGTTGCTGTTGTGGGGGAGATGTTGGTGCCTGAAGCTGAGTTGTTGACGCATGTCCCGTATTGTGGTGTTGTTTCCTGCTGTTATTGCTGCTACTATTGCCTCTATCTACTTTATCATTGTGCGCATGCGACTTTTGAAGTACTGACCCTGCAGCATTCTTTTTTCCACTACTTTCATTTCCAGTCGAATGAGTGTCAATTGCACCACTATTAACATTAACCTTGTCATTCGGCGGTTTTGTTGACGATGCACAGCTTTTGAAAGCATTTAAATCCAACGACCACGGTAAGCTAACCCGGTTTGAGGTTACATTCCCGTTCGCATTGTTCTGTCGTTTTAAGCTACGCTTCTTCATACAACTTGTATTGTTTCCCCCACTGCTGTTGCTGCCGCTGCTACTACAGCTACTACTGTTACTGCCTTTGGGATATTGTTGCTGGCTACCACTACATCTCGACGTCGTGGTATGCACTGAGGTGTCATGTTGATATTCATCGTCATTCGCATGCGCTGCTATTTGGGCCTTCAATGCAATATTGCGTAGATTAAATGTTGGATGTACAGAACCTTTGTCACGCGCCTCAAACAACACCGTTTGGATACGCAAAATATTATCGTAGTCAATGTGTGCGGCAATAAGGACAAAAATGAATGTGCTGGCCAGGAGCACGATGGCGGCATTGCCTATGCGTTCCTCCCATTCGGGACGAGTTATCAAAACAGAGCATTCTTCAACCATTTCTAGTGGCAGTTGAGCTTGCAATGTATACTCGATATCATAAGAAAGATTACTGTGTATTTTGAAAGGAAGTGTAATCCGATGCATGGTATAATCAGGCGTATATAAGATCTCAATCTTTTTCGATTCATTCGCTTTAAGGGCAAAGCTATTACAATCCAAGACTTTGAAGCCATAACCAGAACAAATTTTGTTGCCAATTTGAAACGATTCGATCCAAATAGGAATCTCCCCAGTATTTCTTGCAGTAAATTTTCGTTTCAACATCACCTTTGGATATTTACGATTTTCCACCATATTGTTGCTATTTGGTGAATGATGTTGCTTAAGGGATGGATTACAGCTCGATAAATGTTTTTCAGTAAGATTAAAAGTCAGTGATTCATTTGACCCGGGCTTACGATTCCCAAGACGGAATTCTGATTGCACCACTTTTCCGCTTACCCAAAGTCCCTCATAGAGTGTTAAATTGTTTCTAATGTGCAGCAATGTACAGTAGGTATCCGCAACTGTAGCATGTAATCGTATCGTGACAGGCATACTCGTGTGGGGTTGCAAAAGCACGGGTTGACTAGGTGCACCGTTCGGCAAAGAGAATACTTCTTGATCCGTTAGGTAACAGTTTGGTACGTGATCAACGACTTCTAGTGGCAACGTCATCTCTGTCTCTTTCGCAAATGCAGGATCAGCGAGAAAGTAATCCAATAACACTGGCGTTCCTGCTGGATTACTCAATATCACCTGTATTTCATACGGATTTCCCACTTCTATACTGGGGAGTATTGGTTTCTTAACAACAAATTTCGGCCACTCAATATCTATTATTAATTGCAGCAAGAACTGTCGCACCTCATTGCTATTCAATATGAACGCAATATTTTGAAAGTCAGTCTTTAAAAGTCGAAACAAGTCAGTTCGTCGTCGCAGTTCCGTTTCGTCAAAATGAAGATTGTTATTAGGGCCGCCAGCAGTATTTTCGGGAATTGGAAATGCTATGGCATTTGAATGCCCATCTCTGGGTATATAGCAACGCTGCTGACAGAATAATGAGGGTTCGAAGTGTATCCGGCCAACCGTGGTCGTGGCATTTCCTTTAATCATAGACCCATTGACATTGTAATCCTCAAACTTCAGCCCAGAATCAGTAAAATTTATGGACGTGATGTATATGGGATGTTGAAAAGTAGAACGTATTGCTAATTCAGCCGAACAGTGCTTACCCTGGATAAGGAGAAAATATTTATTTTAATATACATATATACAGCTAATATTTTTAATTTTTTTTTTTTCATATACAGTACTGCTATTCTGAATCAATTTAATTCGATTGAAATATATATGAGTTATTTACCGGAAAACAATGGCTGAAATAAAGCTTCTCTTGATCCACTTCTAGCTTTCCAATCCATGTACGAAAGCGCACAGTTGTAAGAATCTCTTCATAGGCTGTCCATATTTTCAATGTACATTGATGTTGTTCAGTTATGTACGACTGTATGGTCACTTGGAAAACTGCCACATCGCCCTCCTCCATATGAGTGCATAGTTTTAGTTTTGCACTGTCTATTTTCAAAGTATCATTGCGTAACGCTCGTAATGAAGCTAGCCGCAAGCAACCACGAAAGGAAGTGCTAAAGTATACCCCTTGGGGTGTTTCAAAATGCCAGTTGTTCAATTTGATAGATAATGGATTTCGATTGTGCAACACAATGTAACCACAATGTGAAGTTTCTGCCAACGGTATCGTTCCCAAATTTAAATCCACACTGTATGACGCGTCAGCCTGTATGCGCGCTGTATCATATGTGGAAACATGTAGGCGACCACTACAAACCACCAGCGGCACCTCTATGTGCGTGATATTAGTGCGTATTAATAAAGTGGTTTTATAAGTCATGCTTGAATTCAGCATCTGAAGTTGCAACAATGCCAAAGAACCACCCGGTGGAAGTACCAAAAAGCCAGTAACATTTACGACTTTAAGATAATCACTACTAAATTCTGCGCGTAAAGCCCGATTATTTTCATCATATTGTGGTAGGCTTACGTTTAGCAAAGCTAGAGGTATTTCATAGTCATTACGCACAATCAGGATACGCTTATTACCACCTCTCGTTCCAAGAGTCGCTTGGGTTACAAAATTTGTTGAATTACTGTCATAATATAACCTTCCCTTAAATACTTTCGCTCGTATTAGTACCGTGAATTCGTGTGGTACGTTTGAGAAGCTATCATGATGAGGCGTATATGGTGTGCTTCTCAAAATCATTACTTCATCCAATATAGTTGTGCTATTAAATAAATCTGTTTCGAGCGATACAACTCCCTCTTTTGGATCAAATGTTAAGCCGGGTATTTTGCGAAGAGTAAAATCGAGTAACTTGTGTCGTAGACGCGTATGTGAACTGTGCAATTGTAATTTAATTTGTAATGGTTTAATATTACCATCTTTTATTCCATCCGCACTAGCGGCAGTGGAGAAGTGGCCGAAGTTAACCACGGGATTCTGTGCATACAATCCGTGTTTTGGCAAAATTTCGAACTCGACTGGTATAACTAACACATTCCCATGATTTTCTTCCTTGTCACTAGCGCTGTTATTCGCCTGTTCGGAGATCTTAATTCGTATGTAGGCCGTATGATTACCTACCGTTCGCGCATGAAAACGTATACGTATAACGGATTTAGTTTCGTATGGCGGTATCTCCCACAGTGTTTGTGGCCCTTCCTGAACGCCACTCGGAAGTTCTAGCTGAAATTGACCCCCACTGCTATAAACCTGCAAAATAATTTTGAATACGTAGGCACTTAGTTCTATAAAACGAAAAATATAAAAAGTTATTTACCTCTAGTATTTGAAGCGGCTTACTATGTGGATTGTACATTTGTATTTCAGGCGTTAGTGTTGCATTAAGAGGAGCTCTAATGCCTACTAACGGCTTCAGTCTATAAGGGCAATCACTACCCTCTCCTCGTACTTTTAACCGGGCTTGACCGAAAGAAGTATGTATTAGTAGATCGGTTGCAACGCTGCCATGTGCCCGCGGTAAAAAAACCACATTAAATGTAGTATTGCCCCTTGGCGGCACCACTTTTGTCTCGAAAAAACTTGAGTAAAAGGTAGGCGTGCGTCCAGACACAGATGTCAAATACACGCTACGGTTTTCATTTTGATTAACTAGCGTTACTGTGTGAGCCCGTGCTGTTCCCACCGGACACGCTGCACCGAAATCAAGATGTGGTGGTTCAAATCGCAAACTACTTTGCAGATCATCACTAGCTGATTCTGCATAGAATGCTGGTGTAGAAAAAGCGGAATATTTTTCAGCCTTTGTAAGCGACGACGGTTCTTCATCTTTGTTATTGCTACTGATATTACCGGCTACACGATTGAGCAACAGCATCAGAATTAGCACCAATGGAGTAGGTCCACACATGATCACGAAATTAATATTATTACAATATTTGACTTTGGGGTAGGAGGTATAAGCCGGTTCTGGCTAAGTGGGTGTGCTCAATGGCCTCAGTCTATCCTTCTTCCTTTATTACAGTTTTGTTACCTTCGATTTGACGTTTGTACGGACTTGAAACAAGCAATGGCCAGTCTTCACAAATTATCTTTTTCCTATTTCCAGTATTAATTTGCCTTTTGATATATATTTTTTTAATGATTAAATTAATACTTTGTTGCAATTTTTTCACATTCTTTTGGTTTTTGTTAAAGTATATTTACACTACACTATCAGCCAGTCGTCTGTAAAAGTGCAAAAAAATAATAATAATCAGCCTATCAAGCGTATGTCAATAAAAACGAATAGTTCAAAATACGAATCTTGCATAAAGAGAAGGTCAATATTACATTTTTAAATTTTCAGAACACCCTACGTTATTTAAGGTGTTACCAAAACAAACCATAAATTAGGAAAATTCATGAATTTGTTTTGAAAGAATTTTAATTTTAAATTGGAAATTGAAATACCTTAGCAAGGGTGCCATGGCATGTACAGTCATATAATAGGGTGGTGGAATGATGTTAACATGATTGAATTTGAAAGGCGATACAAATTCTGCTGTCCTGAAAATTAATGTTTTTCGGTTTATGTTTGAACCAGAAATCTAACTTTATGTGATTTTTCCTAGGAAGATTACAATTTTCCCATATCGAGCCATACATGTGTTTGTTGACCGGCGTTCTTTGTTGCACAGGACGTATATTTGCGGCTAAAAGGTTAAGGTCTTATCGGCCGATAACTCTTCTCTGCCCAGTGGCGAAGACACTTGAGGCATTGCTGCTTCAGACTTTCACTTACCACCTCCAACAGCGCATCGGCATGGCTTCCGTAAAGTGCACAGCACCACGACAGCAGTAAGCACCTTAACCACTCAGGTAGTCAATGGACTTAACCAAAAGCTTTTGATACCGTCAATCATTTAATGCTACTATCGGACTTTAAGGAATGCTCATTACCGCAGGGGTTGCAGTGGTGGAACATGGGCTACCCGAGTGATCGACAATTAGCGGTAGGATTTCGAGGTGAAACATCGAAAATAGAGAAAATTAAGCAAGGGGTTCTGGAGGGTGATGTCCTCTCACCACTATTGTTTAATTGTTACATTTCGAGACTCCCTCCTCCACCAGGAGTTTCCTAACTTCTGATCTGGGCGACGGGGATGACCGAGACGCTGATGTTACTGTCTTGTCAAAACACTGTCCTCAGGACCGCGACAGGAAACCTCCTGATGTCACCGGAGTATTACAACGAAGCATCTATGCTACGAGTTAAGAAGCAAAATTCTTTGTTGTGCAAGCTATTGCTATTGGGATGTTAACGTATGGAGAACCTCTATAAGGATCTTATAGAAGCTGAATCTCTACATACAACATGAATTTATAGGAGTTCCTTGAATTCCAATTCCTTCTTAATATATTTATGTACATATCATATATAACAGATTGAGTCCCAACATTAATATTTCTACATATGTACATATATACGTTATTTATGCTATTACAATATGTAAATAAAATAAAATAAACTGTTGAAAGATGTAAGATTTTAATCAGACTTTGCATGTTCAGCGTTGACAACTTGTTCTTTCTGATCTAGCTTGACTCTCTGCAATAATTGGGCTCTTTTTAGCTTAACCAGCAGTTGTAGTGAGTTGTACAACCAGGCTCCCTATGAATTATAATTCATTAGTTTGCTAAAAGTGTAAAAACTTTAGTGTTCCTTGTTACTTACAATTATTAGCATACAATTTAGCAATATTGGTATTGAAAACACTGTTGAAATAAAGAGACCATTACTGTCGAAATATTGTTGTTTCGAGAAGCTGCTCCATTTAGCGGCCGCAATTTCGTTAATACTTTCAGAGCAATATGCCGCTGACACTGAAACAAATTTTGCACATTAGAGTCAAAAATTATACAGAAAACATGTCATTTATCTTACAAAGTATTAGAAATAAAAATATTTGGAAATTTGTGTGGTTCCTTGTGGCCAATGTTGTCACTGTAGTCAAAACATGCATTGCTATTAGCCCAATCAGCCATGGATCATTCCAGTCAATCTGTATATGTTTTTAACATAAAAAGCTCTATAGATGTATATTAATGGAAATAATATTATACTTACACTAGACAAATAGGACCAATAACCAGTAATTTCATTTACTTCAATGAAATTGGGATCCACCATACTTAAATTGCTTCGTCAAATTTCTTACAAGAGTAAACTACAAAATTGCTCAAATGGCTATATTAATATTTAAATGTAAATAAACTCTATGAACTTATGAACAATACATATATAAGATTTTTGTTGCCAGACCAAATGATTTTATAGTCACCAGGTGCAAACATTTAGAATACGACACGACAGTAAGCCGGCGATGACTCAAAAACTTTTGGAGGTGACAGCGAATGTCACACACAAGTTATTGCTGCCACAATAGAGATTTTTAAACCCACCTACCTTATTTCATACATTTCTGGAGTTAAATATTGTAACGATTTTGTTAATTACGCCTCTCTGATTTCCCGAATTTCAAAATTGTATAATTTCTGACTTGTAAAGAATTCAGTCAACGTTTATTTATTACTTAATAAATCACAATTTACTTAACTTTACACGACTACTTATTTTACAGTTTTGACACTCTATTATTTTCACTTTGCCGATATTATCACCATCGAGTTCATTTTGTAGTGGACATTGCGTTAGCTGCTTTCTGATGTACCTCATCGATTGCACGTACTTAATTTGTAAAATGTGCTTAAATTATCGACATCGCCTTTTCATCTGTCACTCTTATTTGGCTTTTTCGCTACACTGGTCTTCTCTGATTCCTGGGTCTGCCAATGGTTTGTATAAGAGACACCGTGTAACTCAGCCATTTCAAAACTTTATAGGCACCTTCCCAATCCCGATGTAATCTCGGAGTCCATCCTTTCCTTCGTTTAGAATTACACTTGATCTCCAGATCAACTTTCTTCAATTCTCTCGACCCTGCTGCCTTATCAAATCGGATTTTTACGCTGCCCCTTACAAACTGAGTATACTGTCCACCACATGCCGTTTTTAAGTGTATTTTCTCTGGTTGCTCATATCTTTCATATCTCCACATGTAATTATTCTCTTCGTTAGGTCGATCTTCGTTCCTTTACCAAGGAACAAGTCCACACCAACTTCATCAATAATATTCTCTACTATGAACCTTTGTAGCCCTGTCATATTCACGACTCGGACTTCACATGTTACCTTTCCTATAACTTGAGGGTCTTTTCCAGCTACCGTCCTTAACCTTGCTCCAGGCAATGTCCTTAATCTTTTGTGATCGAGTCGGATCGAATGATGGAAGGCGAAGTGCATGAAATCACAGTGTATTCGCTAATATTCTTTCCCTCTCGCTTTCCTACCAATTTGCGAGACGATGATTTCGGGTCGTTTTTCGTCTGCTTTGTAAATCCCCTCCTACCTGTCTAGCTCATCTTACAGTCTCGCACAAAGTATCGGGGTTTGCTACAGTTGTAGCACTTCCTAACTCTGGTCTTTGTGACCCATGTACCAATACGAACCGTTTCTTTGATTAATTTTACGGCATCTCCTTCATCATATCCACCTAGATCTGGTAGGCTTGCTCTTGTCCTCACTACCATTTCGTTTTTCTACTGATCGGCATTCAGCAACTCGGTATAAGAGAACTGTGGATGGTGTAATGATAAGCTATATTTCGGTTTCTGTCGAAGTCGATCAGGCTCAGCCACTTTTTAAATGTTTCGACATTGAAATTTCTAATTGTGGCCGCCCCTCGGCTGTCAATTATATATATATTATATTTTGAATATTGAATACGAAACCAAGTTTCATCTGTAATTGAAGTAATAATCGGATACCCATGAAGACTTCAATAAATTAAATTCGATAAGACTCTGTAACAATTTTACAAAATACTCCTAGATGAACTCCCAAATCCTTCGAGTTCGATCACTGGATTGTTAAATAAATGTTAAATAAAAATTCACAAAATTCGTTCCGGAGTTTCTAATCCACGTCCATTTATTACTCAATAAATAACAATTTTCTTTGCTAGTTTACTTTGTACTTGCAACTCAGTGAATTCTTCTGTAAACACACAACTTATTCCATAATATTTTAAACCGATGCTATCACTGCCGAGTATTATCTTCAGCCGACTATCAAACTATCGCCTTGCCAGCGGATTTAATTCAAACTTAGATCAATATGACAATTCAAAACAGGCCTGTATTTGCCTTTACTAAGTGCCAGTTTGTGAATTTGCAAAAAAAGCATCTGTGTGAAAACCCGGTGTAATGATTTCACCCTGTATTCGACGTGCTTTGAAGTTTTCGAATTGCTGTTCATGCCATTTTCGCCGTGAAAAGACAAAAGTAGCAGAAAATTTTTGCGAATTTGATGGTGTAAATTGATAGAAAAGAAAAATATTTGACATAAATTTTGTACGTACCAAACATTGAAAAATTATAAATTGATTATAAAAATATATTGTTTAAAATAGCAACAACACAAAGTTTTATTCCTCTTATTTGTTTATCATCAAGAAAAAATTACAATTAGAAAAGTCAACAGCACAAAGCAAAGAACTGAATTGGTTATAAAACTGCATTATATTAACGGGAATCGGTCGTTGATTATTCATTGCAAAACTATCATTGCACCTTAAACGCACGATATACATATATATGTGAAGATAAAAGTGTCAGCAATAACGCAATTTCTGTCTGTGTAAGGTCGTTCGTTGACCATCAGTGAACGCTATCCCAAACTTGCTGCCAACATATCGTGTGTGTGCATATACATTACTATTCTCTGGATTCCACTATTACAAACAGAGTTAGTTGTTCCAGTTATCGGATTTTCGGTAGCGGCAGACGCCAGCTAACGCCAGAAACTCGTTCCCGGGGAGCGGAAGACGTAGACGACGCGTGTCCGTGTCGACAAAAATGGCTGTGAAGCAAAATAACACGGAAGCGAACGCTGCGCCCGCACCCGTTAATGGGAACGCGGTAGGAGGAGCTGGTACAACAGGAGGCTCTATTTCTGGTGCGTCGTCTGGAGTTGGGGTTGGTGCGAGCAGTGGTTTAACAAGTATCGGAGCGGGAGGAGTTAGTATCAGTGGGGGCACGAAAGCAAAAAAGCTTATTTCCAACGTAAATATAACTGGTGAGGTCAGTGGAAATGAAGAAAATGCAGAACCTGGCTGTAGTGGCGTCGGAAATAATTTGTCCGTCAAGCCGAAGGTGAACATGAAAAATGCGGCAGGAGTAGTTGGAAGTGTTGCAGAATCTAATGAAGCTGATAATATTGTTGGGCAAAGCAGTAAGAACACCACTAACATAACACATATTTTACATCTCATCGATTTGGTGGAACAAAACCAACAACATATATCTTTTGGTCCCGATATGATAAAAATTTATCATCATTTAATTCGCGAACTAGCCCACGTACAGATTCCTCGACAAACACCAAAAGAACTTAAGCGTTTTAAGGAAGATATAGTGAAGGTGGGCGCTTTTTTCAGCAAAGCTAATGAGAAGCGCATGTACCTATTTTACTTACGTGTAGTCTGCCAGCTAATGACGCAAATGGAGGGGGAAACACCTTCTTGCGCTATAGCCATTATTTTCCAGTTGTTCAACTCCGATATGGTTTTCGAGGCTGTGCAGTCTATGCTTGATCATAAAATACCTGAGCAAAATATAAGAAAGACTGTAAAATTACTAAGCGAATGGTTACGCATGTGCAATTTTTGTCAAAATCTAAATCTGTGGATATTAGCTATATTATCGGGACTGCAGGAGCAAGAAAAGTATTCGCTCTATCGAGATATTGCATTCGAGAACATTGAACCTTTATTTACATCTCTAATATTGCCAGTACTTCGACCAAAAGTTTATCCCATCGTATTCCACATGCTGTCCTGCATTAACCAAACACCTATAGTTTTTCATAAAGTAAGATCTAATATAATTTTTTTTTTTCTATTCTCAACACACATATATATTTCACTTCAGATTCTGCCCAAGTTTCCGCGTGTTATTACCTATCTGAAAAAGCAGTCAAATAGTCAGGAAGACTATGCTGAAGAAACAAAAAAAATTCTACACAAGATGGTAGAATTAACTAAGACTCTGATGGTGCGTTTCTATGGGTACGATGAGTTATACGAGGCAGTGGTATGTTACTTTCTTCTTCTTCATATTTCCAGTTATGGAATTGCATTACTTTTTCTTTTGTAGGAACTGGTCATCAAAGATATACCGCATCCTTATGATTTTCCAAGTTATGGAAACAATGGCAAGAGCGAAGATGAAAACGGTGTAGCTGCAGAGATTATACCACATGAAAGTAATGCCAAAGTCGGCTTAGTAAATTTAGGTAATACATGCTACATGAACAGTGTATTACAGGCGTTAGCTATGACAAAAGAGTAGGTGTTATATTCGATTTTGTGTATGAAGAGCTAATTTTTGACGCTTTTATTAAATCAGGTTTAGCCGAGAAATATTATTGTCTCAAAGTAAATCACCATTATTGATGAAAATGCAACAACAAATCGCATTGATGCTGTATTCCACTCGTTTTGAATTGACACCGTCTCGTGTTTTAAGTGCCACGCGTCCTCCAGGTTTCTCACCAGGGTTACAACAAGATAGCTCAGAATATTTGGGTTACTTATTAGAAACATTACATGAACAAGAAACAATGTTCCGTAAAAAGTCTGGAAGTGAAAAACCAATTACAAACAAAGCTATTTCTCTAACCCAAGTAGAAACTACAGATGCTGAAGAAATTGAACCGATAGCTAAAACCGCGAAGCAAGCAGACAGAGGAACTAGTTGTGCCAACAGCGGGGAAGGTGCCACAGGATATTTTAATACATCACAAGCACAACATTCCTCCACAAATGAAAACTCAACATCTGACACTCCAAGTGAAGTTGAAAATACTACTGTTGCACAAGGTAGTTCAGGCAGCGCTTCAAATGCCTGCAAAGGGGACTCTATTATATCTAGCACCATTGAAAAAACCTTTACTGGTAAATTGGCGACCACATACGAGTGCCTGACTTGTGGCTGGAAAAGTCGCATTGTCGATAGTTTTCGTGATTTACAACTCTCTTTTCCTGAAGTGAAAAACGATTGCGCTTCCAACTACTCGGTTCAGGATCTTATTGACTACTACTGTTCGCCAGAGAAACTATATGGAGACAATCAATATTTCTGTGAGCGGTGTAAGAAACTATGCGATGCCGAACGCTATATAAATGTCATTAGCGCACCGAAAAATCTTATTTTGACTTTAAAACATTTCAAGTATGATCAAAAATATCATACACGCGCTAAGCTCATGCATAAAGTATTTCACGATGAAAAGGTTCGTACATTTCAATTTCAAATTTTCAAAGAAAATAAAATAAAAAAAAATTATTTTTTTTTCTAGGTATCTGTTAAGGTCTGTGCTGCAGACACTTTGGAGGAGATTGCTTCCGTGCATTACGATCTTTACGCTGGTGTTGTCCACTCTGGCTTCAGCATGGACTCTGGCCATTACTACACATATGCTGCTGATACCACAAATAAATGGTATAAATTTAATGATAACATTGTGACACCTTCTAAATCAGAGGAACTACACAATCTCACACCACCCAATACACCATATATACTATTCTATCAAATGGGTGCACGCTCTAATGAGGCTTCGTCATTTGAAGGATCGACAACAAAAGTAGTTAAGGTAGATGTGCCAAATCCATTGTCGTTGGATGAGCTTTCGTCAGATTTGCGAAATTACATTAATCATGATAACTACGTTTTTGCCGAGGAAGTTAGGGAACGCATTATAAAGAGTGGCGGTAGAGCGGCATTACAGAATTCACTGGCGGGTAGGCTAAGCGGCAACGGCCGGGGTCGCAATGATTATGATGATGACAATGATTCAGATCAGCCGCCACCGTCCAGTGGTTGTGGTGGAAATGCACTCGACGTTAATGTTAATCGCTTTGTATACTAAATGACTTCGTTCAGAGATTTGCAAGAAATCATATATGTACATATGACTTTGTTCTTCATATTAATTTTTGAAATGTGACGGTTATTATATAGAGCAAATGAAATCCAAGAGAACACATAATCGAAATTATGTTATGAGATTTTATAGAATGTTCAGCCAATCGTACATATACATAATATTTTGCAATGAATCTGCATAGAATTTACCGCCTAATAACGACTCTCACATACATACTTATATATTTATATATAAATGTAATTACATACTATAATATCATTATATTGTATAATCAGCGTTGTAATTTTGTAGTGCATTCGCCAACAGTAGGATGCGAGCGGTAATAACATAAAATGTGTATCAGTCACATACAAAAATTAACGATAAAAAGTTAGAATTATGTAAAGTAAGAGAATTTCCGTAGTGCACAGCATCGGAACGGAAGTTCCAAAATGAAAAAGAGAATGATGAATCGGTATAATTCGATATTAAAGATTTGTACTTGTTAATTGTAAACATAAATTGTGTAAACACTCCTTTAAAATTATCATTAAATTATCAGCAGCGAGATAAATTATCAATAGTCTATGATATAACAGGTGTATAAATATATCTAGATATATATATTTGTGAATGCAGAAATCCATTTATGTATATTTAGTTGTGCCCAGTTGGAAGTAAGGCTATTATTTTTTAATCAGACTATAGTTGAATGCTCAGCCGCATTATTCAAGCCTGTTGCGTGTATGTGTGTGTGTGTGCTTTTAACCGTTATGCGACAATTGAATGTATGCGCGTGTGCTGTCCGAAAATTTATGTGTGCTCTATTTTATGTTTTTATTTTTCTTTTTTTTTTATCTGAAAGCAGTCTTCCCATTTAACAACATCAAAGGCGGGATAGTATAAAATGCTAGAGATTGAGAATATCTGTTAAGCGGAACTAGTTTATCTGAGTGTAATTTCTAAAAACACTCAGGTCGGGTAATCGGAATGAAAAAATCTTTACTTATTACTTGGTTGTAAATCAATATCAATATTTTCGATTAAAAAATTCAATATTTATATGTATGTAAATAAAAAATAAAAGTATATGTTAGATTTCTAGTTAGCTTTTACATTAAATTTTCCTATTGTTTGCTGCCAATTTCGTTTATTAAAATGATAAATTCTTAAGTTTTTAAAATTAAATGAAATGAAATTGAAGCCAAATAGTAGTACAATAATTTAAAATATATATATATATATATATATATATATATATATATATATATATATATATAAAGATATATGAGTTATAAAAAAATCTAATTTTATGTAAGTTTTATATTGAGTGAAACTAAACTACGTTCACATTTTGGATTATAGTGAAACATGCCAAGTCTAAAATATTGCACAAACATTTTTGTTAAAAAATAATAAAATATTTTGGCACATACAATTGTTTTTCTGAAATATTAGTGGTTAACAGTTGTTTTCAATCTCTGTATACGTAAAGTTTTTATTTTATTTTACAGATCAATTTGATGACTAGTGTCCTTACACATTTATATGTATGTTCATATAAATATTCATGTCTTATTCCGTTCTGTAAAATTGTTATATCACGAAATGTGCATGGAAATCGACCGCGTAAAAAATTATAATTGTAAAATAATTACTTTAATTACAATATCTAATCGATAAAAATAACTTAAAAAAGTGATGATTTTAATGAAGACCGAATTTTAAGTTTAAAAACATACACTAAGCAGCAAATTAAAAAAAAATGGTATAACGTTTAATTTATGTATAATATTTAAAGTTTTTTTTTTATTATTTGATTGTTATGTTAAGTCTACAATATGTTCTTTCGATTTATATCCGTATTCATTCTACTTTTATGTAATAAGAATTTATTTTTAGCATAGCTAAAGTTTTATGCCCATAAAAATGAACTTAATAATACTATCACGGATATACCTATACATATAAGATCCGAAATAAAGTTTTAAATAGTTTGCCACTATACATATACATATACATATATTATATACACTACGATGATTTTTTTTAACTCGATTGTTCTGAATCGGTTTCAATTACATTATGAAAAAAGTCGTGAGAAATTGTGGTTTTTAACTTTAACCCGGTTTTCACGGTATATAAAGCTGCAGAAAGAAGTATTGCCTTAAAAGTGTGGCTGTTAGTATGAAAATCAAAGAATACCCTGCAAGAAGGCTTCCGATCATTTGAGCAAACATATGTCAGGAATGCAGTCAGCTCATAGAACGATTTCCCATCACTTTTTTAAGTCCGAAATGACAAACATGATGTTTACATTTATATACGTGTACGTCATTTTCTCTTCGTTTTCTTGTACATTTTTGTCATTCTTGTCGAACAAACACAACACAGCTGAGCGACGGCATTGATACCAAAAGAAAACAATGTGGGCGTAAAAATACAGTAGCAGTGCTGTACAAGCCGAACACATACAGCTATGGTCATGCAAATAGCACAACTTTCATTCCGATACATAAGATTGAAATAAAGGGATATCTGTGCTTAAAATATGAAAATATTGTAACGATGTGTTCACTCAGTTATTATTTAACACAACCTTTATAAAAAAACTTAATAATAATTCAATGAAAGTTTAAAATAATTGAAAGTTTGAGGTTCCTAATGAAATTATCTGGTCACGCAAATAGCACATTTTGCAAAACTTGTAATTTTAAGTTCACATATGCCAGATCATATACCATTATTAGTCTTAAGTAGGTCTTATCTATTAGTATTTGGTAGTATATCAACGATTTTTAATAACAGCTTCACATCTTCGTCCCATGCTCTCAACAAGTTTCTCATATTTTTCTTTTGGTATGGAGTACCACCATCCCTTGACGTCCTCAAACAAATCATCGAATTTTTTGCAGATATTTTTGTTTTAACATCGTTCCATAAATTTTCTATTGGGTTTAAATCTGGGCTTTGCACAGGCCAATCCAAAAAACGAATATTTTCCTTCTTAAGCCAATCTTGTGTGACCTTCCCGGTATGCTTAGGATCACTATCCTGCATAAAAGTCCAATTAAGTGGCATGGAGTCAAATACAAATCGTTCCATTTCATTCCTTAAGATGTCCAGATATTGATATTTGTCTATTTTTTCATTTATCCGCACAATTGGTCCAACGCCATGCCAGGAAAATGCCCCTCAAATTATGATATTACCGCCTATATGTTTTATGGTCTTTTTATTGTACCTAGGATTCAAATCTTGACCTCTTTGGCGATGAAATGTGGTTTTCCCATCCGGTTCCATTCTATTTATTTTAGTTTCATCGGTCCATAACATATTATTCCAAAATCTTATCGCCCGGTTCTCAGGCGTCTTGGCGAACTTTAACCGTTTTTCTATATGCCGTTTTGACAGGAGTGGGTTTTTGCGGGTATTGCGTCCAAAGAGCTGGGTCTTATTTAAACGCCTTCCGACATGGCTTCTTCATATAGTCGAATCGAATTCTTCGTTTATTTTCAGCATATTTTGCCTAGAAAATTTAAAAGGATCTAGCTTTTTTTCATATTTTGCCTCTGTCTTCAAAAATCGCTGTCTTGCGCGGAGCAGGTGCCTTTGATTTGTTTTGAGATAGATAAACTTCACTCTCTTGAACCAGTTTAAAGACATTATGTACTATTTTTCGGGAATAATTCCAGAAAACTGCAATTTCCTGTCTTAGCCATGTTATGAATAATGATCCTTTTTTAAGGAGAAAAGTGTTTACCGCAACCCATTTTAATTCAATCTGCGTAAATTTTGATAGAACTGAACTTTAAATGTATTTAAATTTCACTAAAAATAAATAAAAAGATACTTTCAAGATCCAACCGATGACTGTGCTATTTGCGTGACCACCACTAACTAATAGCACGATCAGATAAATCGACGAAAAAAATATGATTGATAGGATAACGAAAATGTACGAAACGCACTGTAAACTAGATAACATAAGTAACTATTATACATTTTTTTTTCAGAAAAATACCGTATGATACATTTTGTGCTATTTGCGTGATCATGGCTGTATGAGCGACATCTTTGATGCCGAAGGAAATCAGCTTAGACGAAAGTTTTCCCTGAATATATACATACATAAAAACATTATTAATATTCAGTTATTATTTCAATATTTAACATACATCATGTACATGGCTTACCTGTATATCCGTTCAACTACACGTGACTTCAAGCAATTCGTCTCAACCCGTATAGCAGAGATTTTTGACACTTCCACGTCATGTCAATGGCGATGGGTTCCATCAGCACTTAACATACCTGATGAAGCTACAAAGGTAAATTCATCTACAATTCACTGCACCAATTGATTGGAAGTTTAGCTGTCCAACCAATACAGCTGAAGGTCATCCAATGTGTAAAACGAATTTTGCATCGCATCCCAAAGAAAAAGGCGTCTCAATTGGAAACCTTTCGCTGCGTAGTCATAGAAGCGGAGAATATTATCAACAGTCGCTCGTTGATTGAAATTCCTCTCTCGCGACAGAATCCAGAATAATATAAGAACCCATGATGATTAATACGCCATTAGATGGTCATTTGGAATATCGTATCTGAATGGAGAGATATACTGTTGTTGTTAGGATATACTCGTATGTAACGGTATTGTTCGAATACTTATTTCTTTATTACGCTCAAATACCTATAGTAATTCGCTTTGAGTTTCATTAAAAGTTTTAGGTATTTTAACGTTTAGTGGTGTAAATAAAAGTTTTTGCTTGCGCAAACCAATTTTTCGTATTATATTCTGAAAGATCTTTCAAATATTCGAAATTGGATTGTTTCCAAAATCACGATTTCAAAAAATGCATCATTTATTCAATATATGTATGTAATTTAAAAAATCTTGCGGTTTTCCAACACATCTAGGAGTGTTTCCTACGAACGGGTTTATAAGGGGTGCTTTTTATTCCATGTTAATTTAGTCTTATTCACGTTGCTGACCGAACAGAGCTAGTTTTATGTTTGTAAAAAAAAAAAAAAAAAAATCCCAGAGGCTTAAGTTTGAAGCTTAAATGGCACCCTATACCACACCGTAGCAGCTGCTTCAATTTAATGGGTAAGTCTTAGTTCACATGAGAATACTTTTGTCGCTTACTATCGTAATTTTCTTATATGTGTCGCCCTTCGCGTTCACACGGAGACACTTTCTTCAAGCAATTCTTTCGACATTTGTTTCTACTTCATTTTTTCTCTATACCGCTTAATTTTACATTATCAATTAAAAACACTATGTGTGTGTAAAGGAAAACGCAGCTTTTATTTACCAATTTCATACATATATTTTTATATTCAATTAAGCAACCTCTCTAACCCTTTGGATAGTTTAATCTATTCACAAAACTTTATATATCATCTGAACAGCTTCTTCATTAAATTCTATTCTTATATTTCTCGAACCAATTAAACTTTAACTGCTAAACCCATTATCTGATATATTAAAAATTATATATATATTTGTATTCACATATAACTATTGTAATAAAAACCCAAATTTCATTTTCCAAACTAACGACATTTATTCGTTTGAAATTTAAGACAGCTATAATCAGTTCAAAGTGAAAAGCAAAATAAAAGGGAATGCCAAAATCTATTGATACGAAGAGAAGCACAAAACGTGTCGAACAAGCACAGCGACACGATGTAATGTCGTCTTCGTCGTCGCCCCTTCCATTCAAACGAATGTTTCGTCGACTAAAAGTATCCCAGTGTAAGCTCGGACTAATGGTCGAATTAACCATTATGTTGCCAGCTTCCAGTGTTAATGCATGCTTGTAAGCAAATTTATGCAAATGCGAAAAATTTCACAAGATAAGTTGTGACAGCTGAGACGTTATGTTTTTGACTAATAGCAGCATACCGGTGCCATACCATAACGCCATAGTCGTATCTATACTCTGAATTGGACAATTTATATTTTGGTATATGAAAATATTTCGGGGGTGAAATATATAAGATTTCTTTACGCTTTATGTAATTTGGGTTGCATTCTTACAAGTTTAATTTTAGGATTTTAGTCTTATATTTTCAAGATTATTTCCGATACAAAAAAATAGATTTTTAAAGCAAATTCACTACGCTATCTTTCGAGAAACCTGCAATATAGCTATTAAATATGTCTGAAGTCTACAAATCCGCTGTTTTGCTTACTTTGTTTCTGTGGCAGTTAAATTTGTCACCATTGCAATCTACGGACATTACTTTTGACAATTTCTCTTCTTACAGCTGGAATAAACGGATAAGGGCGGTTAAGCTATGAACTTTAAAGTTTCCCTAAGTTCGATATTGACAGAATACATTTCCCAGCAAATTATAATAACTTATTAAATAATTTAAAACATATTTTTCATCATTTTCCTGATTCATCAATTTTAAAGCGATAATTTCTTTGTTTTCATCATTTATTGTTCAAAAGCTATCTTATAATTGAGTGTTTTTTATTTTAATTTTGCCTGCGATTTCATACACCATTCCACTGTACGTCTGTATAAAAGCTTATTCAAAGTGTCAAAATCAGCTGAGGCGTGTTGAAAGTTTCATTAGCTCTAATCAGACCAATAAATGAGTTTACATATATTTACGTGGAAAAGATAGCATTGAGGATACCATCATTTGAAGTAAATTTATCGATGTTTCTGCCCATCAAAATAAACAAACATATATGCATATACACCAGTCATAGCACCAATGGCAGAAACCAAAAATAAAAATAGAAGAACGAGAGCAAGCAAATCGTCGAAAGTCTCAAGTATACTAAGTGCACGTGAGTTACTGGACACATTATTGAGGAGGCAGGCGGGTACTAAATAATCCAGAACCATCACAAAGAAAAGCAAAAACAGGCAGAAAAATCAGTCAGTTGGAACTGAGCAGAGCAGCGCAACAGTATGTTGAACAACCTAAGCAAGTCTCTATACTAAAAAAGGCAGCTTGTTTTATAGAACAAAAGAAAAAAAAACGAAATTAAACTTTACAAGTACATCAGAGTTTTATACTAAACGGATAAAATATATTTAAATTTCCATAAATGTTGTGTAAAATATTTTAGTTTTGAGAAATTGTGAAGCGGATAAGGTGAATAATTTTGAAAGTGGTGCAAAAATACAAACGCATTTACACACCCTTTAGTTCTATAGGGGTGCTATTGGAGAGAAAGGACACTGGCCTATCGAAGGTGACGCGACAGAAACATCGCGGCTTCAACGCTTTGACGACGACGACTATATCGTTGGTTGCAGTATTTGCAACGTCAGTCGGAATTCACATGCGTGATTTTGTTGTGTTTTTATGTGACGTTAAATAACAACAATAGTTTCAGCACGTTATTTTACTATAAAGTGTTAATTAGGAGTTAATTTTTATATTAACGAAACGCAGCAAAACAGTTTTAGAGAAATTTCGTTTATCGAAACTTATGTTCAGCTATAAATTATAACATTAAATATTAGTACTTCGGAAAAATATACTACTGAAGAAACAGCGAATAAGTCGTGAATGAAAAACAAGTTTATAGCACAAACATGCATTCATCCACCTAAATCTGGTTGCACAGCAAAGGACACGTAGGCAGCACAACTTGTACAGCAAAACCAATTGTCAACCTAACTATTACATAGCGTACTATCATCTTTAGAGGTGAAAGAGGACATAGGCCACGAATTATGCTGCGTGCATCAACGATTAGATGAGCAGGTATAAAGTGGACCATTTAACGAAAATACGTATCTTCATGCATCTATATTTGTTAATTCGGTATCAAAAAGGAAAATTCATTTGACGGCAGCGCTGTGTGTATTTGTTTTTTGCAAATAATATTTAAATAAATATATTTACGTGAACCTGTAAAAAGTTTTTAATTAGGTGAAAAACTGATAATTATGTACAATAAGAAAAACAAGTGAAAAAGTGATAGAAAGTTAATATAACTAAGCGAAATTGAGCGATATCCAAGTAAACTTCATCGGGGGAAAAAAACCAAAATAAAAGGAATTGAAACTGGAAGGATTTATAAACGTTAGCGTGACGAAGAAAGAGGCAACCCTCATACCGAAATCCTAACAATTTGAGAACCACACACAACCACATAAACAACCAAGATGAGGTTATTTCCGGTGCGCTTATCGAACATAACGAGAATGCTCGATATGTACTCCCAGTTCAATCCATCGCCTTTATCGATAAAACAATTTATGGATTTCGGTAAGTGCATTTAACTATCAAATTATAATAGACAAATTTTATTTAATAATATTAATAATAATATTCCGCAATTTCTAAATAAAATAAAATATATACAAAAACTTCATAAGATTACATTAGTAAAAAGTATTTAAATATGGCTTTGTAAAAGAAAAAAAATATATATATATTTACATATGTATAGTATATATGAAAATAAATAAATAACACATAGTATGTATATGTACAGGGTGCTCCATTTTTTATGTCGTTATGTAAATATTGAATAACTATTAGAAAAACAATTGATTTCTATAAGTGATGCATTTTTGTTCAGTTTGGTTGGCTTTGAGCTCATCAATAGTTTGAGGTTGGTTGGCGTAAATTTTGCTCTTCAGATAACCCCACAGAAAAGTCCGGGGGGTTAGATCAAGTGATCTGTCAAATGGTGCTTTTTTGCCGACATATTTTAATAAATATAAACGTTGAGTTAACACAATGGAACGACAGTTTTCGTTGTTAAGTGTCACTATTTCAGCGCGTTATTTCGGTGTGAAGCGATCCATGGCAAAAACTGTACGGAATTGACGTTTCCAAAACATATCTGATGCAATCTCTCGGTTGGTAAATCTGAAAGTTATTCAGCGTTTACATATTGACTTAAAATATGGAGCACCCTGTATATAAATAACTTTAAAAAAATAATAATTAACATCTCATCGTTTCCTTCTATTCTAAAGGTTTTAAATACAAATATGTTAACATGGGATACAATTTTTTTATTTTAAAAGGCAAAATAAAGCAATAATTTCAAATTTTCTTTCAATATTTGATATCTTTTTTTTTCTTTATATATCAATGCACTAATCAATCGATAACAGCTTTGAAGTTAAGTTTATTACCTTATAGTCATAAAAATATACATTTGTATTCATTATGCTCGTATAAATTATTGCATGTTTTTATAATCATATGTATATATATAAGTATGTATAAGCTCTTGAACTAAATTGCTCTGTTTTGGCAAAAAGTTTGTTGATAACTTCTAGTTAATTGTTTACATCCGATGTATACTTGGAAATGTATGTATGTATGTGTATACTATTGTATATGTATGAAAATATATTTTATCACCTTCGCTGAATAATATTTTGTTTTAAATTTTGACTGTTGATAACGCTATGTACATATATGTATATGTATTTAACAAAATATCGTGTGATCACCGGTTTTATACATAAATACGTACCTACATAATAATATTTCGCCGGCAACTTGTGTATATTGTTATGTATTCTATTCTGATTTTCGTAAGCATGTCACATAATAATTCGTTGATCGATATATTTCAAAAGTTTATAAGTTAAAACATTACAATTTTCGAATTTACTGCATTTTCTACGCAACATTAAAGTTGTTGCGAATTTCTATTTCTTATCGGTTAAGTTGATGTTGTTTTTCTTTTTTTTTTACTTTTATTTCCAAATAAAAATTGTATATACATATTGCGTTAAATTAGCTGGAGATAATACGTTTCATTTCGTTTTATATATGTGTTACTTACATATATATAGAACATAAATTATTGCATGTATTTACATAAATACATTCTTATGTATGTACATATGCTACTTATGTGAGGCTATTATAGGATGTCAACGAAAAGTATAGTTGAAAACATCCAACCTGTTTTTATCTATTTCTAGTTACTTCTACGCTAATACATACGATACAGTATATTTTATGGACACCAATACCTCTTATGAAAGTTTCTGCTTTGTTTTCACCTTCGCAATCTAAGTAGAGCTCTAAAGTTTTAGCCTTTTTTGTTTACTACTTCACAGCTTCTTTTAAGCTTTTTTGTCGAAAAACTTTCTGCATTGTTGACTTAAATTTTTAATTGGAGTTTCATTGAAGGGTTAATATTTTAGACATTTATTCTCTACAACCTTCAATATTTCATCAATATTACAACCTTACACATTTTATATTTCTTTCTGGAAAGGAATGTGATCTGAAGGCTCTAGTAGCAGAAGGCCGTGTGCCATCGAACGGAATAGGTGGAAGACTTCCCATTTCAGTGTTTCCAGGTTCTTTTTGACCACTTTTGCGACGTGAGGCCGAGTATTGTCGTGTTGGAGGATGACTCTGTCCTGTCGCTCTTGATATTGTGGCCGCTTTTCTTTTAGCGCGCGACTAAGGCGCATCAGTTGCGTTCGGTAGCGATCTCCTGTGATGGTTTCACCCGGTTTTAAGAGCTCGTAGTAAATCTTTAAGTTTTTCTCTTCCACCACCATGTTTGCCTTCGACATCGAAATCACCATTTTTAAAACGTTGAAACCACTCCCGACACGTTCACATCGGGAGCATCACCGTACAGCACATAAACGGACATTTTCGAGCGTGAATAACACGAAAACAAGAACAACTGCCACTGAAACGGCGATGACAATTCGTTAGGCACTGTCCACACTCACTTTAAAGGCATTATCATCTATGTATTTCAACCAGCCTCAGCCGGTACAGCCACCTATCAGAAAACGGCGGAAGCAAAGTTGTACACCTGATACCAAAGTAAATATTGTTACCTTGAACAGGCCTGTTAGTGGTAATTTTTATGAAAGACATGAAATGCGGGTTTTTTACACCTTGAATAAAAATGAATAAATTTGAGTATTTTTAAGGTATAAACATATATTTGCGCAATAATAATCTCTCTTATTGTGGCGTTCATATTAAAAAAAAAATTTTAGTTGAATTTGCCATCAACGAGTTTTAATCCCGAAAAGTAAGTTCAAAGGTAATTTAAATAGTTATATTTATTTGCTGCAAAGGTAAAAATAAACTGAGCTGTTATTTCACCTTATCACTCCTCCAAGGACATAGCTAATGATATACCGTTGTCACTTTGTGCCTATACTTGAAATTACGTTACTTAATAATTTGCATTTCAAATGATGTGTTTCAAGCTATTTTGCTCAACACTTGTTGGCGAAAACCTCAACAAAAAATGCGAAAGTATGGCATATATGTGCTAAAACGTTCTTAGCTTGTAAACACAGTTCAAAAACAGAAAAATTAACATTTCATTCATAAGTAAACGAAAATTGCCAGACGGCCAAAGAGCAAATTATTGCGCTTAACAAGCGTTTGCTAAATGATTGATTATCGCCGGTGGGGGTGTACTTTTGTACTTTGCATGAATGTCAATGAGACTAAAACGAATTATTCACATGCCAAAAGTTATTTGCGAAGGATTGAAACCGCTTGAAGTAGGTGGCAGTGCGCAATAATTGCGTCAAACAGTCTTAAAGCAAAGAAGTTCAACGAATGGACGCTGTTACTCAATCAATAAAATCGAGGATTTTTTTATTATAAAGTAATAAAGTTATAAACATACATATGCTTATATACTATAAATAATTAATTACGTTCTTTTTCACTTGCCTGCTTCTATACATACATACGTGTACATTTGTCATCACATAGAGACGTGCAATTTTGCAATTCTCATTTCTCTAATTTCATAGTTGATTATAAAACAAATATACAGTTACTTATTTGTTTTTTTTTTTTTTTAATTTTAATAACGTTTAGTTTTAATGGTTGTTGTGCTTTTCTTAGCAAAAAAAAAAAAAAAAATTCAAACAAAAAAATGAAAAGTAAATTTTAGTGTTGAAATAGTTAAACGAAAAATACCAGCCTTAATAGACTTTTTATGCAAACAAAATGCATTGCATTTACTCTCAAGTATTACTTACAAACTGCGTTACGAGTATATTATGGCATTACAGTGCTGTGCATATATTTTTCAATGCCAATCACCCATACACATGCGCTAAGCCAGAACATGTTTCCGTTGAGAATTAGCTTGAGCCACTGCATAGTGCCGGAAGTATTCAATATTGATGCATCGAGAATTTCCGCTAATTAATATAAATTGAAATTTAATAGGTAATTATATATTTTATTAATGAAACTTACCGACCAAACGTAATTTAAATAGCTAGCAGAGAGACTTATGACTGTGATATATAATTTCACAGTTTTTTTTTTCACCGCTCGGCATTGTTTGCCAATTTTTGGCATAGACTCATGTCCTCTGTTCTGAAAACCGAACTGGAATCGCTTTGAAATCGTAATTTTCTTGAATAATGGGTCGTAGAATCCGTTCCCGACAAAATTTATTTCACGTAAGATGAGGACTACCAACAATAGCCACGACCTTCTTCTATTGTGGGTCAATTCATTTCTTTCACTTTTCCAGCGAAACGAGCTACGATTTCTAGGTCCAGAGTATGTGAGTACCTGTAGAAGGGTTATGTGTTTGTATGCAAATTAGACGCTCAGTTTTTTAATGTTTTTCGATCCAATTTGATGTACAAATACACCGCTATATTTAAACTATTTATTTGTCGAAACTAGGCAGATTTTTCAGTTTTGAGATTTCGGTTCATAAATTCGTAAAAAAGCATCTGAGAGCTACCGAATTTCACGCTCTCAGATGCTTTTTTACGAACTCCTTACGACTCCTATTTTTTCAGATATGAGACTTTGGTCAAAGCTCGGCCAACAAAGCAGCTAAGTTCATACATTCGTATCTTCGTTTGTAGAAAATCATGGAAGTCTGTGGGCTATACGAGGTGTGTTCAAAAAGTATGGCGAATTTTTTTATTTTCGCAGGTTACGTATAATCGAATTTCGATTTTTTTTGTGGCGTTATGTTGGTACTCATGTCTGTCACTTATGCCGACAAGCTCGGCCATTTTGAATGTTCACTTAATTGTTGACAGCTGCTTTGCTTGCACGTGTTTTGGATGGTCTTCGATTTTTACCTATCCAAAAAAATGGATCAAAGAACCTGTATCAAACTTTGTGTGACAAAACGTAATTAAGTGCGCGGATGCATTCTGAATGTTGACTGTGGCATACGGAGAAGCTACCTTTGACCGAAGCAACGTTTATCGGTGGTACAAAATGTTCTCAAAAGGCCGAGAAGATGTGAACGACGAAGAGCGTGC